CCAGATGAGGTCTTTCTCCTCTGATGTTAGTGGTTGGCTCGGAGAATAGTTGAGTATTTCCTAGGAGAAGGGTATACGGGTGTCAGAGTTGGTGACAACACGGAAGAATGGGCGTACCCCGAGCTCATCCCGTATCTTCGCGTTCGGCTTTAATTCCCGGTCGTAAGGGCCACTGCGATGACTTCGTACAAGTCGACGGTGCTTGTCCTCTACAGGATTCTCGCGACTCGAGTCGGGGTCGTTAACGCTCCACAAATTAGAATCGGGGCCAAATACGGATGTCATCGACACTGTAACAGGGCTCTGCGATGTTGAGGGTACGATCGGTGGTGTATATATCTGTGGTTGGTGGGACTCCTAGAAGCTCGTTAGAAGTGTGCATAGACTGATATCCCGAACCGGAATTGAACGCATACGGGCTCGTTGAAAACAACTGGGAAATCGAATCGCGGTAAGTCAATGTAAAGAAAAAGATTATCCGTTTTCTCCATCTCAGCCTATGGGTGATTAGCAGAAGATCTCGAACAAAGTACAACGCGCAACTCACAGCATGTATCTCTTCAATTTTGCGGAAGGTCATCATGTCTAACCACTCGGACTTTGGTAGATCGCCACGTTGGTGTTTCTTGACAAGCTGTAGGAAGATGAGCGACAATGTGAAACCTTGACGAGAGTTAGTCAAATTACCTTTTCTAACCGACCCATCTCATCTCTCGTCTCAAGCTTGCTTGGCGTCGTCGTTTCTACCGAGCCATCCGCTTCGACCCCAGGCCACAGCAACAATCGATGTTTTCCGCGTCGCAATGTCCTTTCGACATGTAATCAGCAGAGTGAGTCCATCATAAGAATGATCATACCATCTCTTGCCAAACAGACGAAAGGTCGAACCACCGACTGGTGCGGCAACCCGTGGGCCAGCAATATCCCAGACCGTGAAAGTGATATGAGAGTTCAGTGGAAGATCGCAGTACCGAATTGGAAAAGTAATCCACTCGTTCCACCTACAAAGCCGCCATTAGTCTTGGAACAGAATGTCATGCTGCCACACGCACGTGTAGTTGTTTTTGAACGCCTTAAACGACGTTCGGAACGGTATCGTAAGTGGCTTGTTGTCGGCGACGAGCTGGCAGGTGATATAGAGATCTGAAAGTATTCTTGAGCCGAGAGTTATTGCAAAACTTGCACCGATGGGTCGAAGGAACACGTACGATGATTGTGCACCGTGGAAACGGAGCTCGGGCTGCTCCAAGAGCTCGGTATAGGTTCTTGAGCTCCTCTTACCCTCGAGAGAAGATCTACCTTGCCATGAGCTTATCTTCCGAAGTTCAAAGAGACAAACGGACATTCGGAGGGTAACTGGGAGTTTCAGGTCCGAGAGTCTAGCAAACGTGAAGTCGTCGCGGTTATCCTTGTCCATATCCGTAGAGCCTTAGAGGATTGCGCAACAAAACGTCCGGGCGAGCTTCGGGGTTGTAATGCAGCAGCGTCTCTTCGAGATGCCACATTCGGCAATGGACTGCTTATGTCAGCGATACGCGTCCCTTTGCTTGCGCGTCGACTCTGAAGACTTGAATTCGACCATCATGGACCACTTTCCTACAAATTGGGGCAGGCCGGTCAGTATTTCTCTAATGACCCATTCAATACTCTTTTTGATGCTCACCTTAGAGACACGATGGTTTCGATGCCTATGGCACATATCCTATTCACCAGCGGCCGAATAATACACCAAAGGATGCCTTCTCTGCTGGGATTCAACGCACACAGTTCGTGAATCTGTTATATATTGTTATCAAACTTAGCAATGGGGTATAGACAACCCATTGTAACAGGAACGAGCGTGCTCGCAATCAAGTACAAGGACGGAATTATGATGGCAGCAGACAACCTCGGTAAGCCTATTCCAATAGCTTCCTTCATATGCTACTAACATAACACCCCACAAACAACAGCCTCGTATGGATCCCTGGCACGCTTCAAGGACATCCAACGTCTCCAACCTGTGGGTGCTCATACCGTAATCGGCGCAGGAGGCGATATGTCGGACTTCCAATACATCCAACGTCTACTCGACGCACTTATCATCGACGAATTCACTGCACAGGATGAACACAACCTTGGACCTGCTGAGATCCACAATTACCTCTCACAAGTTATGTATTCACGTCGCTCCAAGATGAACCCTCTCTGGAACGCTATCCTCGTCGGCGGCGTCAAAGACGGCAAGCGCTTCCTCTCGTTCGTCGATCTACTAGGTACAACGTACTCCGCGTCGACCCTCGCGACCGGGTATGGAGCGCACATCGCACAGCCACTCCTGCGGACGGCGGTGGAAGGCAAAGAGGATGACCTTACAGAGGAGGATGCTATCAAGATCCTTGAGCAAAGTATGAGAGTGCTTTATTACCGCGATGCACGGAGTATCGATAAAGTATGCATCTCTTCTTCCTTGTCTCTTGATGCTCACAAAAGTCTAGTACCAAATCGCGAAAGTCACCGCGGAGGGCGTCACGGTTTCGGAATCTAAGCGTCTGGAGACGTCGTGGTCATTCGCAGAGGGCATCAGAGGGTACGGAGCTCAAACTCAATAACTGTAGGTTCTACTTGTATATTATTTCGCATCGCATGAAGTGCAGGCCTCTTACGACTATGATCATGATCATGGGCCGTAGAAATAATCGGGCGCTGTCATCACACAAGTAACATCTATAGCCCTGTAAGGCCAGCTGTCTGCGTTGGACTTTTGTCAATGTGAGGAATTTTGCGAATGTACCCGTAAGAGAAAATGTACGGTGAGAAAATGCGGATGTTCTTAGGTAATTTGTTGTCGCGCATGGTGTGGGAAATCAGGGAAGTCTACATTAATTCGTCGAATTTATCATCTACACATGAAAAAGGAAGCCCCTAATAACAAGTTACAGGGCATACAGCGGTATGGAAGGTATGCTCACATCGTGCGCAAACTTCGCGAGTACTGATAAGAACGGCAAAATTCGGTAAAATTCCTTGCGTAAAGCGTAGAATAATCCAATTCAATATATAGCTAGACCTCCACCTCTGCAATCTTCTCTGCAACTTTGTCTACCTGATCATTCTCTTTCTCCTGCTTGGTCGGGACTTCTTCCCTCTTAGCAGCCGCAGCGTTTGCAAAACTGAGCGTCGGCCTCACGGTCGGAGCTAGCGACCTAGGTGCGGTTTTTGGTGATGCCATATTGGCAGAGCCAGCGGGAGCATTAGCGCCTGCGCTAGGTGGGGTACTAGTGAGCGGTACCCGCTCAGAGGCCTGACGCGAATTAGTGCGAGACATGGAGACGCGTTCTTTAACAGTCTCCCGTTCTTTTTCAAGACGTTCAGTGATCTCCTTATCTTTATTGGCCACGTCAACGGGGCGTGCGGCGCCGAAAGGGCTAGCACGAGCATTGGAGGAGGTGGGAGTTGGTCCCATTTTTGGAGAAGAAAGAGGACTTTGAGCGGCGGAGGGCGTGCCCGATCGAGGGAGGAGCTCGAGCTTTCTGCGGCTCAACTGAGGAGTTGGTGGTGTTGAGCTAGCCGCTGAGAAAACGTGAGCTGGTTTTCAGTTGGAAAGATTTATGAACATACGTGAGATACTGGACTTTCGGGCTCGCCAGTCGACCTCATCTGCATGTGAATCTTTCGGCGGGCCCATGTCCCCTTTACCACGAAGGCTTCCAAACCTCTCTTCGGGAGCACCGGGTGCCGGTGCAAACTTGCTGCCTCTGATCCACGTTTCAGCTTGATCCACAGAACCAGACTGGCCTTCTGGTGTAGAGAATCCGGATCTGCGTCGGGGGGGCGCAAATTCGTCAGGAACAGCCGGTCGAGAAGGACGGCTGGAGCGCCATTCGCTGGCGCCTTCTGCTACGCTGGGCAGACGCTCGCGGTCACCCGACGAGGGTCCGTCATAGCGACGGCGAGAATCACGAGGGTGATCCGGAAGCGGGCCTTCGCGTCTCCAGGGATTGTCAAACTTGGAGTCGTCCTCGACCCCACCTCCGCCTCCGCGATCTCCGAATCCGCTGCGTTCCTTGGCTGTAAACAGGTAAACAGTTCAAGACTGGTAAGTGGGTATACCCGTAGATACTCACGAGGTTCTGCAACGCTGACTCGAATGGTTCTGCCAGAGAAAGTCTGTAGAGACTATAAGGCGTAACATTGGCATTCAGATAATGTATACTCACCGAGCCGCTTTTCGAGATTGCCTCTTTTAATCCATCCAAATCTTCAAATTCTACGTAGCCGAAGCCCTTGGGTTTATCTTCACGATCCCTGATAATTTTTACAGACTTTGCCTGCGCCACGTCAAAGGTGGATCAAGTGGATAGAGTACAGAACGCACTTTTAATGGAGCAAAGAATTCCTCTAACTCGGTTTCAGTGAGATCGAAGGCGAGATTACCAATGAAGGCGGTATAGGGAGGATTGGTGGGTAACGGGATATCATCCCTAGGCGGGGCGGCAGCTCTATCAGCTAAAGACGTGTCAAGAAGCAAAATTATCGAAAACTAGAATAAGCTCACGTCGGGTGGACAGGTAGTCGTCCCGTCGGCCGTAACGATCGCCAGGACGTCCTTGATCGTCCTCATTACGTGCGGCGGCTATTGCTTGGTTTGAGACTGAAACCCAAGTGCAAATCATTGCCACCTACGAGCATTGGGAAGCGAGTCCATCTCGTCCGCCCATGATCCCAGCGCTGTACGCAAAAACGCCAGGCTCAATGAAAATGCTGGGCACGACACACGATCAGATACTCACCGCTGTCCCCTAGGAACTCATTCAGGGAAATTTTCTTTGCTTTCTTTGGAGCTGCATGAAAAATGGGTTAGAGAAATCACCGGGTATAAAATTCAAAGGTGACCGTACGCATTTGTGATGTGCTTGAAATTTCGTCCAACTGCAATTTGTCAGTCACTGACCGCACCACGGAATTCTCCGAACAGTAAGTAACAGCGATATATACTTCAAAAAGTCAAAAGTACCATTGCCTTCTTGGCTCAGTTGGCTAGAGCGCAGGTCTCATAGAAATATGATGTGGTCTTCGCCATTTAATCCTGAGGTCGCAAGTTCGAGCCTTGCAGAGGGCATAGGCTTTGTCTTTTTTTCTCTCGGTGGCTTACGCAATATGGAAGTTGTTTTGATGTACATCATATCTATAAGCGACGATACACATACTGACAGCTCGCGGGATGGCCGCCACTGGATTCTCTTCCAAGTCTGTTACCCCCAAAATTAGATTTACAATCATGATGAAATGACAGTGATATCAACGTTTAACTCTAGGTGCGATGTTACCTAACTACGACTACTTCCTCTGCGACCACGTCATGGTCTCCAGCTTCCCGAATCATTGCTTCCGTTACCTCTGTAGTCAAACCAGCTGCAATTAGCTCAGGATCAAGCCCTTTGGCTACTCTCCGCAGAGGCGAGTACCCATACACGACTCATCGACCGGATGCAAGGAGATATCGAAGTCTCAGCCTTCCAGCATTACTCGCGCGATGATCATTACCGGTGTCTTTGCCGCTGAGGGGGTACTTGAGTCTAACGCATTGACTTCGCTTTTGAAGAGGTTCAACGATGATTAAAATGAACCCGAAAAAGTTCTGGAAGAAACTTACCAAAAGCTTTTCGACTTTCGGAGACCGAGCCAAGGGCTGATCCAGCGAAAGTATCAACATTCCTGGACGACATGTATCTGAGATTGGATTCGTTGAATACCTTTAAGAAAGGTCCTAGGCCGCGAGGTCCATCTCGATAAAGAATTGCCGATGTCTTCGATCCGAAGCCATCCTCGAGGCTTCGAATACGATATGAGATGGTCGAGGACACTCTTCCAATTGCGAAGCTATAGAAATGGTGTAAGATAAGGCCGCAGTTGACGACAAAAACGCCATACATGTACAAAGACGAAGCGAACATGCACATTATTAAAGCTTCCTAGCTTGAACGGCAGCGGTTCAGTGGCGTTGAGCTGTAGGAATTGAATATTTGGTAGTAGGCGCCGCGGGGGTATGGGAGATATGTCAACTGCAATCACGGTGGCTTTAGGGTATATCTTTGCGGCCTGAATGGCCCTTTGTAGAACGTTGATTCGGAGAAGCACGGGCATTCAAGCTGGCGTACATGCCAAGCGCCACTACCACAACTACAATAGGCCAGCGTTGGTGAGCTTGTGATGGTCACGATTTCACGTTCTTCACCCTATTTCGAGAATTTTGTTCACGTCTCAAATAGTTAGGTCCAAGGAAAGCTTATGACCCAGGTAAGTATTGACTCCATTATGCATTTCATTTAATCTTGGAAACATTGAGTAGGTCCAGAACGCACCACTATTGTGACCGAGGTCAAACCCACCTATCCCACAAGGGTATCATTCTGAATGCGGGTTAGCTAAACACAAAAAGATAGTAAGGAGCGGGATGACGCACGGGAAAAATATGGACCATCTATTTTGTGGAACGCACGCATTTCATTGATGGACACCATGGTAGGGAGGTTAGGGAGATTTATATGACTGAACTCATCCAGCCTTTATGTTATACATGATTTAATTTCACCTTCGTTTGGACATCATGAAACAGCCTCAAGAAACATTACAGTTGTCTCCTGAGAACGATAGGTTTCATCCAGATGGCGTTATCCGTTCAAGTGATTACCCGTAGCACTTCTGAGTTCAGCACCATACAGCCTTCCTCAAAATAGCTGTCTTGTGTGAGTTGGGTGTGAATCGTGACTCAGTGGTCTCACACTTTCACGTAGACTCCGAGGATTACAGACTCGTCATTTCGGAAAAGAGACGCAAAATCATCGGTGTTTCATGGATGTTCCAATATTAGGCGCATCCATAAATGGCTTTCCTCCTCATGTGGCTCAATGTGCAGCTTTAGACTTCTCTATGGTCTTCCCAGCCATTTGTTCTCTTGGCTTGATACACCTTTCTTTGGTGTCCTTGATTGCGGGAAAGCGACTTAAATATTGCACAGTCCGCGAACGTGGCCTTCCATAATCAATCAAGGTCCACGAAAAGCCTCACAGACTAATTGCATATAGATAATATAGCGTGGACCACGGGCATAAGAGTGACATCAGGAACGGGAATAATATGCGTGACGTTCGTGAACGGTTAATGACAACGGCAGTAAGGTGATGACAAACATTCGACATAGCCTACTTCTTCTGTGACCACACCATGTAGATCTTTAAGAAAACGCTCCGTAAGGGGTCTTGGGCTTCTTGAGAAATTTCTTCCTTTAGTTCGGGAGTCATCCCGGTCGCATTGTACATAGATTTAGTGCTCGTCAAAGAGCGGCGCAGAGCTGTCCAGATCACTTGACCCATCCACTGAATATTGGGATCTGAGCGATCTGAGCTTGAGTCTTCAAGTATTTAAAATCATCTGAGTGGCATACCGTTTTCTTGACCATTTGTTGGACATTTAATTTCAATACTGTTGACTTCTCTTGTTCGGGAATCAATAACGAGTCAATGTATTCCAGTGGATGAATGAAAAGACTCAACGAAAAACATTTCATGCTTTTAAGAACTGCGTTGAGGGATGATCCAGCAAGTGGGTCAACATTTTTTGCCCTCGCAGATGCTAAGTATGTGTCGTTGAACGCCTTCAAGGATGGCGCCAAGTCTTGTGGTCCATCATCGTAAAAATGAATATCCGCGTCCTCGATCCAGAGCCATCCTCGAGGTTTGAGGAGAGATACGATGTTCTCAAGTACCTGTTTCCAATTGGGGAGCTAAGATTTGGAAGAGGAGATGGATAGGCGGCTACCAGCAGGACGCTAGAAGACATACATGCACAAAGATAAATCGCGCGTGAATGATATCAAAATTTTCTGGCTCAAATGGTAATGATTCTGTGACATTGAGTTGCAGGAATTGCATATTCGAGGGTAACGGTCGCGAAGGTAAGGGAGATATATCAATTGCTATTACAGTAGCTTCAGGATATGCCTGTGCAGCTTGTATGGCCCTTCACAGAATGTGAGATACAGAAGCCTGCTACAAAGTTAAGACATACCAGGCACCGCTACCGCAACTACAGACAGTATCGGTGAGCATGTGAAATTTAGGATTCAAAGATGCCTCACCCGATCTCAAGAATTTTCTTGACGTTGTGAACGGATGGGCCTAGGGAAAGCTTATGACCCAGGTAGGCGTCGATCCCTCTATGCAAATCGTCTAATCTAGAATACGAGGACGGAGTTCAGCACACACCGTTCCGATCAAAGTCACGAACAGTATTACCGTTCCCATTCTGGAGCATTATTCTAGCTTTGCGTGAATTTTACACTACAAGAGGGAGGAATTCTGTGACTTACTGGCGAGTAATATGGCTGATTCGTATCGTGAACTGCATCCGGAGGTCTAACAACGGACGTCATTGGAAAATGTCTGGCTATCGCGATGTCTTATATATGATATAATTGCATTTGCTGGGAAAATTGACTAAGCTACCTGGGAATGCGACCGAAAGTCGGCAGGGAGTCGGATATCGATGAGAAACCAGGAGCTCCGTCCGGAGTACCTTGGGTATGGGTTTTGAATGAAGACGAATCTCTTCAAACCTTGTCCACAATGTATGTACACAATGTATGTATGATCAAGCTGGTTATGATAGAGATGGAATCGCTTGAATTGGGAAGCCACTGCGAGGTATACAAGGTGAACGTTTGAACCCGTAGCCTTGAACCTCTTATGTAATTAGTATTCCGGAATCGGGAAGATGTCATATCAGTAGTCGTGAGGAATTGGAGTAGCAAGATCTACCATGCTACGGTCTTCTAGATGACAACCAAACTTGAAAGAAACAGGACAGAATCTAAACAGGTGTACACTAGCACTGTCAGGCCGAAAGCCTACACAAGGCTGCCATTAGACATATAGTACTTATTGAGCGAGCCACGGGCACAAAGAGGTGACGTCGAGGGCGATTACGTTGTCGAATTCAACTGAGTCATGAAGAGAGAGTCGATGCTTAATTGACATATGTAGCTTATTTCTTCTGTGACCATGTCATATGAATCTCTAAGTAAACGCTCCGTAAGGGATCTTGGGCTTCTCGAAAAACTTCTTCCTTGAATTCGGAAGTCATACCAGCGGCATTATACTTGGGTCTACTTGTCAAAGAGCGGCGCAGAGCTGTCCAGGCCACTTGGCCCATCCACTGGTTACTAGGATCTGAACGATTCGAGCTTGAGTCTTTAAGTGTCTCATACTACCTGAGCGGCGTACCGTTATCTCTGCCATTTGTTGGACATCTAATTCCAATGCTGTTGACTTCTCTTGTTTGGAAATCAACAACGACTCGACGTGATCTAGTAATAAATGAGAGACTCACAAAAAACTTTCCATGTTTTTCAGAACTGAGTCGAGGGATGAACCAGCAAGTGGATCAACATTTTTAGACCTCATAAATGAGATGTATCTGTCGTTGAACGCCTTTAAGGATGGTCCTAAGCCTTGTGGTCCATCATCGTAAAAATGAATATCTGTGTCCTCGATCCAAAGCCATCCTCGAGGTTTGAGGAGAGATACGACGTTCTCAAGTAGCTGTTTCCAATTCGGGAGCTAGGGATTTACGAAGGAAACGGGATGGATATACTATCAATGTAGGATGTCAGAAGACGTACATGTACAAAGACAAATCGCGCATGAATGATATCGAAATCCTCTGGCTCGAATGGTAATCGATCTGTGACATCGAGCTGCAGAAATTGCACGTTTGAAGGCAGTGGCCGCGGAGGTAAGGGGGATATGTCAATTGCTACTACAGTGGCTTCAGGGTATGTCTGTGAAGCTTGAATAGCCCTTAGCAGAACATTGAGATGAGAAGCACAAAAAACTGCTACAAATTAAGACATACCAGGCACCGCTACCGCAACTACAGACAGTATCGGTGAGCATGTGAAATTTAGGATTCAAAGATGCCTCACCCGATCTCAAGAATTTTCTTGACGTTGTGAACGGATGGGCCTAGGGAAAGCTTATGACCCAGGTAGGCGTCGATCCCTCTATGCAAATCGTCTAATCTAGAATACGAGGACGGAGTTCAGCACACACCGTTCCGATC